TCGTAAGGAAACCTGGGCTTATGGGGATTTGCCGGTCACCTCGTTCATATGACGTTCTAAATTTTTTTTTCTTGACTTTCATAAAATAACAAGTTTACCTTTAAAACTGGTAATGTTCCGTAGATGCCACTTGCTGAACGCCTCCTTGGCGATTTCTTCCGGCACTCCTCCGAGGTACATCGGCCTCTCGAGACGAAGGTACTCCTTGGCTCCTGAAACAAATAGGATATCTTTATTATGTTCCGAAAAGAGGTAAAAGTTAGGGTGTTAAGTAGACCGAATTGGGTAGTTTACAGGGTATCAAAATTAAAAATTAGTCCGTCAGTTAGATCAGGAAAAAAATTAGACACGTATTTTTTTATTTTCTCGTTTTAAGTTGCAATACTTAGATAAAATGGCGCTAAGTTTAGGAGTGGGAGGTCGTTACGTCATAACGTGCTACAAAATGTGGCACGCTGTGACGTCACACGATATTTCAAATTAATATATCGTCGAAAGTATTTAATTTTGTGAGAAAAGAAAAGATACGTGTCTAAATTTTTAAATTAATCTACCAGACGGACATTAAAATAAAATTTAGGCAAGTACCCTATTGTGGTGACATTTGTTATAACTTATAACACTAGCTTCTGCCAATGGCTTTGCCTGCATTCCCGTGGATAAAAACTAGCCTACGTGTCATTACAGACCATAATCTACCCCTGTTCCATTTCATACCGATCGCTACAACCGTTTTGACGTGAGCATCACGCTGTGTTCTACTTAAAAATATGTACCTTCATTAATAATAGACCGCGCCGGTCCATCATCCACCTTCAGCGTGAAGTTCTTCTTGATGGCAACCAGCTCCGCCTTGTGGTAGTTACCGTCGGACACCATCTCGAAACTAAACACACATTGTATTATCAAAGATCAATTATCTATTCAATAATTACTGCAGTAATGAGAGGAGGAAATAGGTGTCTGGGAGGGGGACAGGTAGGGGGAAGGGGAGGGGGACGGGACGTTGGCGTTGTGTACAGCTATACAGCTCACACGAGTGAGGTTGCCGGAGGCCCAAATCCCTTTTCCGCAATCTCCCAAAATCCACAAATTCTTAATCCCCAAAAGGCCGGTAGTGTGCTTGTAACACCTTTAGTGTCCTTGACTCGCCGATTGCTTTTTTTATATTCGATGGATCGACGTTTCTCCACTATCTCGCCTGGTGGTGCACTATGATGCGGTCTACGATGGAGCACGTCGTCCCATAAGCAACCTAATCACTTGGGCCTTGAAGACAGCCAGGTTATACCCTTCAGGAAGTACAGACTCTGGCAAAGAATTTCACTCCTTAGCAGTACGCACAAGGAAGCTTACCATCAGGTGATCCGTCTGCTCATATACCACCTGAGAGGAGACCTATGGTCTTCTCTAGTTATTCTCATGAACTTTAATGTAAATGATGTTATGCTAAAGTATCTTACAATCAAAATTATTACAAACTAGGTTTTGTCTGCGGCTTCGTCCGCGTTCCCGTGGGATGCGAAGTATCCTATGTGTTATTCCAGACCATAATCCACCCCTTTTTCAAATTTCATCCCGATCTCTTCAGCCGTTTTGACGTAATTGAGTCACAAACATACAGACAAACACACAAACTTTCGCATTTATATTAAATAATTACTAGCTAATACCCGCGGTTTCGCTCGCGTGGTTTACGGACTTGGTGACGACCCTACTAAATGTCAACCCCTATTTTCACGTCTTCGCGTTTCTAGATAGTTTACCCCACCCCAAATGTAGTGCAAGTCAATTAACTACAAATTTTTGACTCGTATTTTATCCACTTGGGAGTCGAATTGATCAAAATCCTTTCTTAGCGGATGCCTACGTCACAAAATTTACCTGCATGCAATTCAGTCCGATCCGTCTAGTAGTGTGCCTTGTGCGTTGATAGATCACTATGTCTGTCAGTCAGTCAGTCACCTTTGAGTTATATATTCGTAAAGAAGTAAGATAACGGGTGTCTTACACCCTCCTCACCTGTACATGGTAGAAGTTGGATGGTTGCCGATGTCGTAGCTGATGCGGATCCTCCCGTTGAAGAGTTCCACCGCCAGATGCTCGTTCTCGCCGAAGTACATCAATACTCCGTGGAGTTGTGTAGTACTGAATACTGGGGGAGAGAAAAATGACATAGATTTAATTATGCCTCTTAAAGTCTATGGAGTTTCCATAGGGATCTACACCTTGGAATGAGCAAATAGCTTCACTAGAGGACTGACCTACAGACTGACATTTTTTCTTTAATAAATTGTTTTGACGTTCAAAAGCGCCTTCTTGGTCTAATTGAAATAAATGATTTTGACTTTGACTTAAATTATTATTTGGGGGTCCACCAAATGCCTCGTTCCCGCCTCTCAGGCTCTTAATGACTAATCGCTACCGCGTTTCTACTCCTGTATAAAGCCGGATCTGCGGCCATTGGAGCGCCATGCTTTGGTACTGGTTTACCGTCTCGACCGGAGTGATACCACGGCGTTATAGTCCTATGGCGTGAAACAACGGCTGCGTTATGTGTAGCAGTGTGAGTGAGGTTTTCAAAGACCATATTCTCACCGTCTCCAAAGATAATACCGTACGTAGGGTAATTTAAACTTTTTATGTGTATGTATCAATGTATTAACTCGTCGAGTACCGTCATTATAGACACAATTATAGAACAATAGGTTGCGGTCACCGGTGACCGCTTGGTGTTTGACAGTTTAATAATTGAATCGGATTTTGTATATAAGGCACCGTATTTTCGAAATAAAAAACATTCTATACTTTACCAGCATTTGAGTCCCATTCCATACTCTGCGTACCTCACAGCCGGCAACACTCTTGTAACTCCTCTGATGTTGCGGGTATATATAGGTGACGCTGATCGCTTACCATCAGATGACCTCTATGCCCCTATATCATAAACAAATATTTGTACGCTAAGTCCACATGGATACTTACTGAGCGTGACATTGGCTTGTGGCGTGGTCCTCAGCGGCTCCAGTTCTACCAGGGAGTCGTTATGGCTGAACGTCAGAGAAGTCAGGTACTCGCAGAGACGACCTGCAAGAGACATAGAAATCTATACCTATTTTATCTATACCTAAATCTATTCTATATCTGTACATATAATAAAATCGTAGAAAAGTCAAAACTATACATTGATATATTTTTTAAAAGAATACCTGTAGCGTGATGTACGATCGATACCGAAGTCAAAAATATGGTTTTTGGAATTTTTGTCTGTTTGTCTGTATGTATGTCCGGGATGATCTTAAAAAGCACTGCAGGGATTTACTTCAAATTTTGTATGATCTACATCTTGGAATGAGCAAATAGCTTCACTTTTAATTTTTTGTTGACGTTCAAAAGTGCCTTTCTGGTCTAATTGAAATAAATGATTTTGACTTTGACTTTTATTACATAATTAGGAGCAGGAGGATCATCGCCCAGCTGTGGACTCAAACGTGCTGTTGATCTTGATGTTGAAACTAAGACGCATATAAGATGTAACATAGTAATTTATTTATTTATTTATTTATTATTTATTTATTTATTTATTATTGTTTATGAATATGATAAGTAAATACCTGAGTATCCGGGTGCACATTTGCAGAGATAGTCGTTAGCTGTGCTCAGTAGAGGGCGCTCCATTATTATATCGTCCTGAAACATAAAAAATTAATTCAGGATTACTAAGAAATAATGGATTTTTTTAAGGGGGGTTGTTAGGCCCCATCCGTGGTGGCCTGATGGCTCTTTGAGGCGCGCGTGGAACGCTCGGGTCTGGTTTTGGTCGGACGGGGAGTCACCCGTGCTCGCCGTCCGCAGGCCCGAGCTTACGGTGGCCGGAGATCGTAAGAAATAATGAATGGATTATAGAAAATATAAGTAGTACGTAAGAGAAAGGAGTTTGTAATCTGATGACGTCTGATGGAGGAGAATGGAAGAAGACATGTTGTGCTGACCACGAATAACCTGGGATAAGGGCTGGAAAGATGATGAGTTTTTAGGGCATAGCGCGGCACACGAGCAGACAGATCACATGATGATAAGCAATCAGTGCCATCTATGGACCTCCGCTATACCAGAGGATTAAAAGTGCTGTGTGCCTTGTCGGCTATTTAGGGATTGGGGATTTGCGAATATAAGCATTGGGGATAAGAGACGATTGGTAACCTCACTTAGACAACGAAACACAATGCTTAGGTTGTTTAAATATGGTGTATTTTTTATTTTTTATGGCATAGGCCGGTAAACGAGCAGACTGATCACCTGATGGTAAGCAATCGGTGTCGTTCATGGACACCTGGAATACTAGAGGCGATACAAGTACGTAGACGCCGTGCAGACAGTCGTGGGGAGCTAGGTACCTGTAGCGCTCGTTGCGGCAGGTAGCAGACGCCGTGCAGACAGTCGTGGGGAGCTAGGTACCTGTAGCGCTCGTTGCGGCAGGTAGCAGACGCCGTGCAGACAGTCGTGGGGAGCTAGGTACCTGTAGCGCTCGTTGCGGCAGGTAGCAGACGCCGTGCAGACAGTCGTGGGGAGCTAGGTACCTGTAGCGCTCGTTGCGGCAGGTAGCAGACGCCGTGCAGACAGTCGTGGGGAGCTAGGTACCTGTAGCGCTCGTTGCGGCAGGTAGCAGACGCCGTGCAGACAGTCGTGGGGAGCTAGGTACCTGTAGCGCTCGTTGCGGCAGGTAGCAGACGCCGTGCAGACAGTCGTGGGGAGCTAGGTACCTGTAGCGCTCGTTGCGGCAGGTAGCAGACGCCGTGCAGACAGTCGTGGGGAGCTAGGTACCTGTAGCGCTCGTTGCGGCAGGTAGCAGACGCCGTGCAGACAGTCGTGGGGAGCTAGGTACCTGTAGCGCTCGTTGCGGCAGGTAGCAGACGCCGTGCAGACAGTCGTGGTGCGCGCAGGGCGAGGTGCCGAGCGCGGCGTGCGGCGCGGCCTCGCAGTAGCGGCCGGCGTACCCCGCCGCGCATGCGCAGCGGTACTCGTCCAGCCCGTCCACGCACGACGCGCCGTTCTGGAACACGACGACAATCATTATAATTACTTATACTATAATTGGGATGATGACAGGGTGTGAAAATTAAAAATCTAATTAGTCCGTCAGTTAGGTAATGAAAAAATATTAGACACGTATTTTTTTATTTTGTCTTACAATAAAACAATACTTAGATAAAACGAATTAAAGTTTAGGAGTGGGGGCTAAAACGTCATTTCTCCGTATAAAATGTACATAGAAGTGACGTCACGCGACATTTCAAATCAATATATCGTCGATTGTATTCGTTTCTGTAAGAAAATAAAAAATACGTGTCTAATGATTTAAAATAATCTACCAGACGGACATTCAAATAAAAATTAAGCATCTACCCTGTTTGGAAGTCATTGGGGTGGCGGCCTATATTCAGCAGTGATATGATTTTACTATAATTTTGTGTGTTATTTTCTCGCAGGGCTATATAGGCTGAGATAGTATGCAATGTACCTCTAATACTCAATTTCTACAAGCTGCTACTTATATGGTTTTTATCCGCGGCTTTATCCGCGTATTCAGGTTTTATCCCATGGGAGCATATAATCGGGATAAACATCCAATCAATTAAGTCAGCTCATACCCTGCCTATAGCTCATACCAAATATCAAAGAAACTTTCACATGTATGATATACAAGGTGTTGTTTTAAAGCCGCGTCATTTTCTAGGAGGTTACTTGGATATCGATACTGAGTCCGAATCAATAAAAAAATTTTAGGTAAATATTTTTTTTTTTGTAAATTACGGAAATCCGTAAGTGCGAACTACACGCCGCCGCCGTCTTGTAACTAGCTTTATAACGCGCCTTAACACACAGAAACTAAAACACGGAATTGATATTATTCCTAATTCCATAAAACTCCAATAAGAAACATTGCTACCGCGTTGCGCTATAAAAAAAGGTGGAGACAATTCTTTTACACCGGTGGGCGTAAAACAAGATCCTAACGTAACACTTCGGAAGAATGTCTCAACTAATTCCACGAGTAACTATGTTGACAACATTGCATTCATATCGGAGATACATGATCTACGCTCGGAGATGTCTACTCTTAAAGAATTGCTCACAAAGGCATTGACCTTAATCGGCAGCCACGAAGATAAGTTAGAAAGGTATGCTTTGCAAGTAAAACAATTAAATAACAAGCTTGAAAAGTATGAGAAGCAAGATATCCAGACTACGCCTCTGCGAGCTGTGCACGAACCTCGCGCGAATTCGCTGAGCAACACGGATGTAGCTATCAAACCAACTGCAGTAAAACAGCAGCCTAAACAACAGGTGATAGGAAATTCTCAAAGCTACCACCAGGCTTCCCGACATCTCCATACTGATCACATAATACCACCAACTCAAGAACTGGATCAGTCCGTTATTGCTGTCGTTAGTCAAGAACACAATACTCAAAATGACGGGGAATGGATTGAGGTAAAAAAGCGCAACTATAGGCAACGTCAAAAACCATTACATGGAACTGCTGATCCTCTGTCAATCAATTTAAAGGCTATGGAAATACGCAAACACTTCCACCTGTGGAATATGGCTTCCGACATCGATGAAGTTCGTCAATATCTTTCTCAGCTATATCCTACTGCTGGCTGCTCCGTTGAAGAGTTAAGTGCTCGTGGGGATTACAAATCATACAAAATTGGAGTTCCCGCTGAATTTTACGATAGGATTTACTCTGCCGACATCTGGCCACTGAATGCTAGGATAAAACCCTGGATTAACTATAGAAAGAGCACTTCCAAAATAAATGAACTACAGAATCTGTCACCTGGTCAGCCCTTTCGTAAGCCAACTTCGACAAAAACACAATAGTAAAACTGTTAAACATAATAAATATATATTACATACGTGCTACCAAAACGTCCGAGGTCTGAAAACGAAGCTAGCAATGTGGCGCAACAACCTATCCATGTTAGAGCAAAACATCGTCGCTGCTACTGAAACCTTCCTGGACTCTTCAGTCTTAGATTCGGAGCTCGAAAGTGGTGACTGGCGTGTTCTGCGCCGAGACAGAGATACGCCTTGTGGAGGCGTCCTCCTAGCGGCGCGAACTCCTCTCGTACTTCGCAGGAGGTGCGAGTATGAAACTGAAAGCGGCGAAGATTTGTGGGCGTCCTTTGTGTGGCATGGTCTCTCATTCCTAGTGTGTGTAGTGTATATCAAACCAAGTGCTAGTGATGAAGACTATATGAACTGGTTTTGCAAAACCGAAAGTTTCGTCAATAATTTTAAGGGTTTCGTTATTATAATGGGTGATCTCAATTTGAATAGCGCATCAAATAATATAGTTAATTACTACTGCTACTTTTTGTCGTTTTGTTGTTTAGTTGATAAAAATGATATCTTAAATGTCCATGGTGGCAAATTGGATGTTGTACTAGTCAGGGAAGGTTTTCACGAGGTGTCTGTATCTGATGTTGATGGTATTGTTCAGCCGGATGCTTATCACCCTCCGCTGGACGTTGAGGTAAGAATTGAATCAGTTCATTGTTCTAATGTAATGGATCCAAGCAACATTAACCCCGCGAAAGATTGGAATTTTTATAAATGTAATTACGACCAGCTTTATTCGCTATTGTCAGAGACATCTTGGGATCCTGTATTCCAGGCCCATACCGTTGCGGGTGCGGTGAATGCCTTTTATCAGATTGTCTATGACACTTTCGATACCTGCATGCCCAAGAAGCATCGTTCTGGGAAAATAACTAGGCGATACCCCGTATGGTTTACGTCGGAAATAACTAAAGATATCAAACGAAAGCACACACTGCACGCTATTTGGAAGCGCTCTAAACGCCAGGAAGACTATAGGACTTTTTCGGATCTTAGAACTTGCCTTAAACATCGCGTTGCTTCTGCATATCAATCATATATTAGAACGGTCGAAAGTAACATAAGAGTCAATCCGCGTGAATTTTGGCGACATATATGCAGTTTAAGATCTAAGGGTGGGTTCGAGCCTTCGGTGAGCTATTGTGGTGACAGTTACAGTGGTACTGCAGCCGCGCAGGCTTTCGCCAGGTTTTTTGCCAGCGTGTTTCTGCCAGATATACCACTATTAGACGCCACCAATACCAACAACGCCGACGTTACAAAAAACAGTAATTATATCAACATTCTTCGGTTTTCTCGTAAGGATGTGTTAGATGGGTTGAATAAACTAAAAGTCAGTAATTCTGTAGGTCCGGATGGTATACCAGCCACGATTCTTAAAAATCTTAAGGACTCATTTGTCTCTCCACTTTGCCATATATTTAACTTATCACTAAAAACTGGTTGTTATCCTCTTCAATGGAAAGTGTCACGTGTAACCCCAATACCTAAAACGTCTAACAAAACAGCTGTAGAGGAATACCGGCCAATTGCTATTCTATCATCATCCGCTAAAGTTTTCGAAAATGTGCTCCATAAACTTATATACGCACAAGTTGAGAAATACTTAAGTAATGCTCAACATGGTTTTAGACGTAGGAGATCTGTCGAATCTAACTTATTAACTTTAACGGAGTATATCTCATCACAACTTGACAGAGGGCAGCAGGTGGACGTCCTATATTTTGACTTTCGGAAGGCATTTGACCGCATCAACAATGATATCTTGCTCGCGAAACTTAACTCCATAGGTGTATGCCCTAACCTTCTGCGTCTATTGGCCGATTACCTTCGTGACCGCCAGCAGTACGTGAGGTTGGGCATTTACGAGTCCAACACGTACCACACTCGTTCAGGCGTAAGTCAGGGCTCAATTCTCGGTCCTTTGCTGTTTCTTTTAATGATCAATGATCTCCCGGAGGTTCCTCAACATGCAGAATGTCTTTTGTATGCTGATGACCTAAAACTCTACGCTTGCGTCAACAGTATATCGGACTGTGAGGCTATTCAAAGGGACATCGACCTGGTGAATGATTGGGGAAATGCAAATAAAATGGAATTCAATCCCTCTAAGTGCTATGTCATGACTTTTGGTCGAAAGCGACACCCCATTACCTTCGACTATAAAATAAACGGCTCTTCTATATCTAGATCGTCAACTATGAGAGACCTGGGCGTCGTATTTGACCAGAAGCTGACATTTCACGATCATATTGCAACGGTTGCTAAGGAATCGTTTAAGAGACTTGGTTTCGTTCTGAGAAACTCACGAGATTTCAAGAATACGCACGTCATAAGACTCCTTTACAGCACGCTGGTCAGGAGCAAGTTGGAGGCGAGCTCCTGCATTTGGAATCCACACGAGGCCTCCTATTCTCTACTACTTGAAAAAGTTCAGAAGAAATTCTTAAGATTCCTTTACAAATCCTCTCTAGGCTACTATCCATACATGTACCCAACAAAATACTTGTGTGGATGTCTGGGATACAATATGCTGGAGACCAGAAGAGCGTTTGGACAACTGTACATTATGCTTAAAATCTGCAGAGGTATCATAGATGCTCCTGACCTTCATAATGAACTGATGCGATTACATGCTCCGACTAACTACCTCCGTGCTCGTCGGCACCGCCCACTGTCTGTGCCCGCATGCCGCACAGTGGCCCGTGCATCGTCCCCTATTCCCCGCGTCTTGTCCGCGCTCAATGGCCTCTTGGAAACCTACCCCGACTGTGAGCTATTTATTAATGACTTTAAAACTGTTCAGCGTTTATGTTTAAGTTTTTGTGAAAATGTTTAATACTGTTACCTCTATTACTGTTTATTGTTTTTTAATTTATATTTTTATTATTGTGATGTGCTTTATTTTTTCTTTTATATCTTTATTTTGTCATGTGATTTGTAGCTACATACGATGTTTGTTTTGATATCTGTATATGTTAATGTAACTGGTGTAAACCGTATTAACATAAAATAAATAAATAAATAAATAAATAAATAAATTATTCTGAAATACTGTCGAACTTAAACGATTTATTATAGCCATATTTTTAACTATTGGCCCGAAACTTTCTCTTACATTGAACCTTTATGACTTCTGTGACATGCCCCCGAGAAATGACACGGCTTCAAAACTACACCTTGTTTGTATAAATGTGATGTGATGAGTCCCATATTATGTGTATGTATAACAGACGGTGAATTGACTAAAATCGCGGGTTACTCACGTAAATATACTGAGAAATTCTCTCTATTAGTTTCGATTCGAACCATAGAGGGGTTCTTCCTCATGAGCAGCGTGCGCGGTCGCGGCGATGTCACGCAGCTCACGAGAGTAACCCGCGATTTTAGTTAATTTAGTATATCTCACGATAGTTATAACAGACGGTGAGCCTATTGTTTTATACCGCACACAATTAGGCTTTGTGATTTTACTGAGAAATTTTCGAAAAACCGATAAAATCCAGTAAATACCCGAATCAGGAAAGAAATTGAATCTTCTCAGATTTCGATTCACCGATTTCTGAAGTCTAACATAATATCTTTAATGTTTGTTAATACTAATATTAAATAAATCTGTCAGGGATAATGGGGAAGACTGTTTGATCAATTTGCTCCAGTGGCGATATCGGCACGAGAGAATTTTTAACGCGCGTCAAAAAAGCGTTCAAATAGAACAATTTGCGATTTAATCTTTAATACCTTAAACCGAGCGTTGAAAATCCAACACTAAACATATTGGTACTAGCAGATGCATTGGTTCTATTAAAACGCCTTTTTAACGCGCGTTAAAAATAACTCATGAGAATCTTTTAACTAAAAACCCGTCATGATTGCCTCGTTGGCCCAGTGGTCGCAAGCGCGACTGCCTGACAAGGGATCTCAGGTTTGATTTCCGGGTCGATCAAAATATTAAAGGGTATTTTTTAAAAAAAACTCAGTAGTAGCACGGAGTCTGGAATTGTGCCCGGTATATAGCAATAGGCTCACCCCCTATTACATGGGACTCATAGCATAAATATAGTTAGAGAGATGACGACCAAAATGTTTATCTCATAGCAATACGGCCAAAACCGCCTCAAATCGATAGATACGATTATCCTGAACTCGAAAATACCAATATCAGACATTTTCCGCGTAGCGTTTGATCTGACCACAAAAACACCAGACAAAAAAAATGTCTCATAGCAATACGTCTGAAAACCTTTTTTATTAGTAAATTTTGGTTATTTGATGCGAACAAAACAATTTTCAGACGGAAATGTGAACGCATTAAATATTGAGACCGTTTTGAAAATGTTAACAAATTTTACCGATCGGTATCATGGCAATATGTCTGAAAATTGTTGGACATGATAAAATAAGTTGTCCACATGTGCAAAAAATGTATATCAGACAAAATAAGTGTAGCACCTTCTCTATCAGACAACTTTTCGATACTCAGATATTTTTGACACAGCAGAAATGGCCTCCCACGCAGTTGCTACACTTTCGACCGTTACTACACACCTAGTCGGGTTCAGAATCATACAATCTAACGATTTTATAGGGTTTTTGCCGTATTGCTATGAGACATGGTTTTGGTCGTCATCTCTCGTACTAT